TAAGAATTCCTCATATCAGTGAGGTCATATGATACATGTCTTTCTCTGATTGACTGTTTCACTCAGCATAACACCCTCCAGTTCCATCCACGTCTTTGCAAATGGCCAGATCCCATTCCTTTGCCAGCACTATTTTGATTTAGATTTTGACCAAACGGGAAAAATGACACTATTGTAGAGCAAAAGACAGGTTGATAGAGAGTTTCTGGAAAGTAAATGACTTAATTTAAAAGAGCCTTAGGAAACTCCTTTATATTGCCATGTTAGCTTTAAATAAATATTAAGCAGAAAAAGTAATAGGGTAACATCTTAAATACTAAAATGGTAGATTCCGATGTAAAGGCCAACCTGTATGTTTTGGATTTTTGTTATTATTGTTATTATTTGATTGCTTTAGTTTTGAATGAAATCTTTTTCATCCTTTTGAAATCTAGAGGTTGATATTAATTAGATATAAAGTTGTAGAGTTGAAATCGTGATTTATACCCCCTGGTGTCTACTTTTTCCTATCCTTTTATCCTCTTTCCCTATTTATTGGTACCTTCCCTTGAAACGAGATTTAAGACCAGAAATTAAATTTGATTCATAACTGCTTATTGTATTTTATGAGATAAAAACTGTTAGTAAGATCTCCTTTTTCTGTTACAAGAAATGAAATAAGAAAGGACCCGCATAGCCAAAGCTATCTTCAGAAAGAAGAACAAAGCAGGCAGCATCACACTTACTGATTCCAAATTATATTTTAAAGCTGTAGTCATCAAAATAGTATGGTACTAACATAAACACGTATGCATAGATCAATGGAACAGAACAGAGAGCCCAGAAGTAAACCCGTGTATATATGTATATAGTCACATTAATTTACAACAGAGGTGTATACACAAGAATACCCAGTGAGGAAAGAATAGTCTCTTCAGTAAATGGACAACCACATGCAAAAGCATGAAACTGGACCCCCATTTTTACACCATACAAAATATCCAACTCAAAATGGGTTAAAGATTTGAATGTAAGATCTGAAATTATAGAACTTCTAGAAGAAAAAATGGTGTGTGAACTCCTTGACACTGGTGTTGGCATTGAGTTTTTAATTTAATACCAAAGTAAAGGCAACAAAAGCAAAAATAAGTAATTAGGACTACATTAATATAAAAAGCTTCTGCACAGCAAAGGAAACCCATCAACAAAACACAAGAGCAACTGATGGAATGAAAGAAAATATTTCCAAATCATATATCTGATAAGGGGTTACTATCCAAAATGTATAAATGACTCATACAACTCAGTAGCAAAAACCCAAATAATCCAACTAAAAGGGGGCAGAGGAACTGAATAGACATTTTCTAAAGAAGACATACAAATGGCCAACAGGTACATGAAAAGATGTTTACAACACTAATCATCAAGGAGGTGCCAGTCAAAAACCACAATGAGCTATCACCTCAATACCTGTTAGAATAGCTATCATCAAAAAGACAAGAGAGAACAAATGCTTACAAAGATGTAGGAAAAAGGTGCTGTCGATGGGTATGTAAACTGGTATAGTCTCTATGGGAAACAGTATGGAGATTACTCAAGAAATTAAAAACAAAACTACTGTATGACCCAGCAATCCCACTTCTGGGTATATATCCAAAGAAATAAAAATCATTATCTTGAAGAGATATCTATATGTCCATGTTTATTGCATCATTATTCCCAATAGCAAAGATATGCAAACAACCTAAGTGTTTCTCAACAGATGAATGGGTAAAGGAAATGTAGTACATATATACACAATGGAATATTATTCAACCAAGAAAAATAAGGAAATTCTGTCATTTGTGACAATTATGGATGGACTTTGAGGGCATTACGCTAAGTGAAATAAACTAGACAGAGATGGACAAATACTGCATGGTATCACGTATATGTGGAATC